TACAATGGACAATGTTAAAATCAGCTTAAGTTTATTATCCAATTTCTTTGTTTATCAACACCCACTCGCCCCTCCCCTCCAAGAAACACACACACACACACACACACACACACACACACACACACACACACACACACACACACACTTATACTTATACACACAAAAAGTGGGTGTTTGGCGGGTACTCCGGTGTCGTTTGCTCCTTCTTTCCTCTTTCCTATCAAACATCATCTATCGTCCTAACCTCTCCTCTTTCTTTTTGTGTTTGTTACTCTCTTTAACAGCTTTAATCTTCGGCACTTGTATAACCTTATTGTGCTGCAAGTGACGTAAAACTCTTACTTAAACTAAAAAAAAGAAAGAATCACAAACACCAACACAAAAAAGGTGAACAGAGTCAACACTGCGCCAACTTCTTTGTTCTGCACCCTTACACAGTGGTCCCAAACCTCTTGCAACACACCACCTAAATCTCTCTGTTTATCTTCTTGCCATAAATATCTGTATATTATACGATGATGATGATGATGATGATGATGATGATGATGATGATGATGATGATGATGATGATGATGATGATGATGATGATGATGATGATGATGATGGTGATAAACGTTTTTCCTCTACTTCCTCTTCCTCTTCTTTTTCTCCTTCTTTTCTTCTTCTTCTCCTCCTCCTCCTCTTCCTCCTCACCATCACCATCACCATCACCATCATCATCATCATCATCATCATCATCATCATCATCATCATCATCATCATCATCATCATTAATATTACTATCACTAAAGTGCGAACAGCGTAGAGCATCATATCCGGCAATGGTCCGCCAAAGCCCTCCAGCTGGAAGAAATGCCCTCACAAGAGCCCACTGACTAGCAACATTCAATAATTTCTCACAAAGAGTCCATGATCAACATGCCACAATGAAGGAGTTAATCGTTCTTTACAATTTTGAGCAAATAAAAAAATATAAAAGTCTAATTTCAATCATCTTCCTCCATCAAGCTGTAATGATTTCTATTTTTATAATCTCCAGGTTGTTATAAACTATTTAAAACCTGAACACAGTTTTATGGCATGATGACAGGCCAACATATTAATATGAGTAATTTCATGATGAATCAGTTTGACTAAGGATTATGTCTACTGAGATAAGCCATTATGACAGCACATTAATTATATATTATTATCACTCTTTCATTCCTATGAACTTCTACCGCAATGGAAATGTATTATGATAGGCTATAGAAATGAATGAAACAGCAAGTTTTATTAATAGCATTGGAACACAATCAAGCTGACTATAAAACCTCATCTGTCTGTATTACATCCACATATTCCTAATACCCAAACAATGTTGTATGTTACACACACACACACGCAGACACA